ATATCACAATGGCGCCATAAGTGGAGTATGTAACCGTTCTGCAAGTTATTCCTTCAAGAATCAAATAGTTTTATCCTAACGAGATAATTGTTCAGCTACAATGTGTAAATACTATGAATACTTCTCTCCTTAAGAAAGACCAGCAACTTGGTTCATAGTAGCATTCCTTATAGTGTCATTTAAGTCGATATCTACCCCAGTCAGCACTTATATATCTTCATTTCAGTTTTGGTTTATTGTATTTCAACTCACCTTAAGATTCATTTGCAAGCCTAAACACTTTCACTTAATCAACTCTTTATTCAGTGTATTTCAAACTTTGCATCAATATTATTCGCCCTTGGGTTCCTAATGGAACATAAAGATTCAGTGGCACATCGCCATTTCACTCTCTTCCTTACAGTCTTTTCAACCTGGCTCCAATACTGCTCACAAGCTCTCATCTCTTCCTCACACCATCTCCTCCATGTCACCATCACCTCGGACACCTAACTCATCGTTTCCCATTTAGCTCCCACTCGACGGTCTGGCGTGGTGCACGATGTCTCCGAATGCTTTTTTTCAGTGTATGCCCGATCCAGTCCAATCCATCTCCACTTTCTTTCTGGTCATCTGATCTTCATAATCGACCGTAGGTGGCAGCTGTTGATGAATGTCTGTAGTTTGTTGGAAATGTACTTCAAAACATGCCAAGTCTCTCAACCATCATCACATAGAAGCACTGACTTACTTGACTGAATTAGTGTTGAAAATCCACATCTTGTTCATGCTTTATGCTGAGTGCAGTTGAGTGCAGTGCAGTGCGATAGATCTCCACACTGATTTCAGATTAATGCAGAAAAGTCTGTCTTGCTGTTTTTCCGATCCTGGCTTTGATGTCCTCTTGTGTGCCACCACTTGTAGTGGAAACGATGCTGTCTAGGTAGGTAGGTAGGTAGGTAGGTAGGTGAAAGAGACAACTTGGTTTAGATTCGTCCCGTTCATGGTGATTGGTGCTTGTTGTTGTTGGTTGCAAACTCAGTATCGATAACAGTAATGATAATATTGATATGTTCAGAAACCAACTAGTAAGATAGTCGTTTACTAATACTGACTGATGATTAAGGGTGAAATGAAAATCTAGACCGAATTAAGATTCGTTCAAGCAACTTCCGTGTTACTGGCTGATTGTTTTACCAACTGAGCTACAAGATCTACCCATTAGCTGACCATGTCTTAAGTTTACTTCATTGGTATTCGTTTACGTTTGTAAATGTTGGTGAAATTATCTGAGGTAACTGGGGTTTGGCAGACTGGTATTATTGATATGGTGTAGCGTTTGATAACTTGCAATCGGATGAAACCCTTCGGCAATTGAGGAAGAGGTAAGACCTGATCAGTAGCTAGTTCTTATGATTTATTAGATAGAGCGACTGAACCGGTAGTCACTGGTTTGAATCCGGCTTCGATTCACCTTTATATTTCACCTTCACTCATCACGTCATATCAGTTTATGATTGTTCTTATCGAAATATGAAATTGATTTAATCTTTTTATTTACGACAGGTAATTATTTTGCTGGGATTAGTAAATTTCCACACTTTACTGATAATTTCTTTATGAAATATTAAAATGACATTTAAAAAATGAAACTTGTCAATATATACTACTCATATTGTCTGTATGAGTAGCTTAAGCATTTCGCTGCAGTAATAGCTGGAATGTGACACTATTAACACCGATCTGATTTGAGGACACTATTGAGTTTCTTTTTTTGTGCTGTATTTTCCAGTTACATTTTAAATGAGTGCTAATCGTTCATTTCAATGTTTTTTGCTTTTTCAAAAAAAAATTTCAGTAACTCAAAATACGAATCTGTCAAAACGTGTACGATCAACTGATACAGGTGGGAAGACATTGGCAACCGGTGATTCAAGTAAGTCGTTGAATTAGGATACTTACTGTTTTCTCACCTTTGTAATATCTAATTCTATGCCTCTTTTAAGAGGAAGAATAAAGTGGACATGGGTTTTTGACGGCATAGCCTGTGGATCTCCGTCGTCGATCGGACCGAATCCAGCGGCGGTGGTTGGCATATGAGCTCCTGTGCGGATGCCTCCATATTGTTATTATTTTTCAAATTTGATATAGTTGATGGATAGTAGCTAGCAGTGAAAACAAGGACGCACGGTTCGTCCCATTTGGGACTCTCCACCTGGATGTACCTGCCTCTCAGTGGGTAACATCGTTCCCACTAGGACTCGAACCCAGTACACATTGCTTCGAACACCACTGCGTTACCCACTAATTCACTGGGACATGAGACGGTCCATCTTGCGCAGTGGGTATCAGTTTTGTTGTGATTCTTGTAATAACCCGTTGCTATACAGGGCAGAATTATTCGCTCTCTGTTTACGAATACGCTTCTATGCGGATGCCTCAATTCTCTCGCGGATATTCATGGTGTTGTATTCATCTTGGTGGCTAACATTGAAATCCAGGTGGCGGCACACATGAGGACATCAAAGCCAGGATCGGAAAAACAGCAAGACAGACTTTTCTGCATTAATCTGAAATCAGTGTGGAGATCTATCGCACTGCACTGCACTCAACTGCACTCAGCATAAAGCATGAACAAGATGTGGATTTTCAACACTAATTCAGTCAAGTAAGTCAGTGCTTCTATGTGATGATGGTTGAGAGACTTGGCATGTTTTGAAGTACATTTCCAACAAACTACAGACATTCATCAACAGCTGCCACCTACGGTGGATAATGAAGATCAGATGACCAGAATAATAAGAATAAGAGAGGAGGAACTTTGGCCTAGGAACAAACCGATCAAGCGAGAAGCTATCGCCAAACAAATCTGCAGAAGAAGAAAGTGGAGATGGATTGGACTGGATCGGGCATACACTGAAAAAAAGCATTCGGAGACATCGTGCACCACGCCAGACCGTCGAGTGGGAGCTAAATGGGAAACGATGAGTTAGGTGTCCGAGGTGATGGTGACATGGAGGAGATGGTGTGAGGAAGAGATGAGAGCTTGTGAGCAGTATTGGAGCCAGGTTGAAAAGACTGTAAGGAAGAGAGTGAAATGGCGATGTGCCACTGAATCTTTATGTTCTACTAGGAACCCATGGGACAAACGATAGCAAAATAATAACAGAGGGGAATCACAAGCATCAAAAGAATAGCTGTTTTCATTTTTCTCAAGAAACCTGGGTTCAGCATAAGCACAATATAATCTAATATATATAGAGATGTCGGGAACAACAAAGAGACCAATGGAATAGCCTTAAAATATGTGATTAAAAGACTGTAATTAATTTTGTCATAGTCCTGAGAAAATAGAAGACATAAAAAGGGTGTAGATTGATTTACACTGGTCTCAATGGTGAACTATAACGGATGTCATTTGGAGCCAATAAAAGAGTCGTGGTGAGCTGACAATAGCTAAGAGGACAAAATTGTTATCCACCCTATTGCATCCAGTGCCTTTCCGTTTCCCTCGGTTAGTTACAGGGCGAGCAAATAATGAACATTGTAAAAGCCATTGTGAAGATGTTGGTGTATATCTTATCGAAGTTATGAAGATTGATGTTTTTTGATCACTTAACTAACTGAATGACGATTACCACATTGGTGAAACACTAAACATTGGAATAATTGTTTTTATATGATACCGTCGTTGCTTGAACCGAATTGACCCGTCTGTATTGGCATATGGGCTCCTGTGCGGATGCCTCGACATTGCCTGCGTTCTAATCGTATTAATGATGGGTCGTGGCTAGCAGTGGAATCCAGGATGCGCATTTCGTCCTATTTGGGACTCGTCAGCTGGATCCATCATTAATACAATTAGAACGCAGGCAATATCGAGGCATCCGCACAGGAGCCCATATGCCAATAGAGACCGATCAATTCGGTCCAAGCAACGACGGTATCATATGAAAACAATTATACGAAAACTATACCCGTCGGACAAGAAGTGGCTATCGTGGCTCGGTGGTGTAGTGGATAACGCCCTGACGTTTGAAGCGATCGCTCCCGAGTCCAAATGCCGGTGGGAACAACATCACTCGGCACTGGGAAGCAGGTACATCCAGCTGATGAGTCCCAAATAGGAAGAAATGCACATCCTGGATTCCACTGCTAGCCACCATCCATCGTTAATACTAAACATTGGACCTTAGAATTATTTATATGGAGTTTTAATCTGATGTGAGTTATCCCTAAAAGACAAGGGTGTTTGAACATAAGGTCATTCAGACTCCTCAGCTTGAAGGAGCCAGGTTTTATGAGCATAGAGGAGTATTTTCCACAGAGAAGCATTGTGTACCTGATCTTTTGTAGTCAGGCTAACATTGTGACGATACTAGAATTGATCCAGATTAGTGTATAATCCTGTGGTTTTCTATGCATAGTTATAAATGTCATCTCTTGCATCTCTCTACACGGATACATTGTTTATCGAATCGATAAAATGTCCTACATAATTGTGCTTGCTTGTAAAAGGTACCAATACTGTCCAACTTAGAGTTGTTAACTGGAAATGAAGCTTGTACAGATCACATAAAGCGATGAAGATAGATAAGTTAAACATCAAGCCACAGAAATCTATTGACATAATTTTCACGTATTTTATAATTCCTTCTGCTAGACATACCTGCAGTCTTGGGATAACTTACTGCTGCTTAAAGATTTTAGCTTCCATCACTCAGTCATGATAACAGAAACGAAGGTATGAAGACATTAAAGTCATGACAGACCTCCTGTGTGCAACTTCAACTGATCTTTCAAAAGTTGTACCAGTTTAAATTCACTTGTTTGTTTGTATCTTGTGCATGTGTGTGTGTGTGTGTGTTATCAGTAAGACAGTTTAGTGTATGTTTAGTTTGCCTTATCTAATCATTATCAAATCTCTAGTTCCTTGTACTCTAGTTATATTCATCTTATAAAACGTGTGGTATATCTCAGAATATGTCTACTTACATTTACTTTTGTGTATATGTTTAGCTATGTTATATGTACTTACTGTCTGTTACCAGTTAATTAAACATTCTTACATATCATCATTCAATGTCAGTAACTAGTTTATCATACCATTTTTATCAACGTACTGGATTTTTTTAGTCAGTCGATAGGAGGGTAATTATTTCCATGGTTATATATATATATATATATATAATTGAATATGGTAAGGGATAAAACAGAAGTTGGAAAGGAAATGATTCCTTTGCATACTTTACATTCTTTATGATAAAGAACGTGTTGATTGATTAGTTGAATATATATAGAGTGACTTTAAGGTCATCCTAGCAACTACCGAGAAAATCAATCAGTTTTTGGTATTTCATCTAAGATGGTAAACAGTAGTTAAATGAAGGTCATACTATGTCGCGAAATGACAGAAGGCCCACTGTATTCGGGCCTAGTGACTCAACTGTGGCATGCTCTCCACCAAACCTGAATGTCCTGGGTTCTGTTCGTGGGAGTGTCTGTGGGGTATCGGATGCGTACACATTGGTGCGGAGTCTCGTCCTAGAACGAAACAGCTTTCCAGTGTTCTTGGGTCCTCAGTAGTACTCTGACTGATGTCAAAGTATTTGACCTTCAATGAACATTTGTTCAAGGTCATCCGATGAGTTGTCACTTTTGAATCAGTATTCTTTATTTTCATCGATTGGTTAAGGATTCTAAAGACTTTAGGAATGAATAATTATGGAGTATCTTAAAGTGGAACGCAATAATTAGCCAATTCATGATTATCACTGATTGCTTGATCAATATTGTATTAGGAATCACTCTGTGAATGCCTATAACTCATTCATTTTTGTACAGATTTGAAACATGAAGATTTAAGTGATCGAAACAGTTGATTAGATCTAAGAAACGTGTACAGAGATCTTAAACGCATAACTGAACTCTGCGTTATAGATCATTTGAGATCAACTCTACCATCAAATCATGTAAATACATTTATATGACTAAAATTGGTTTTTATTGTTCTAATTTTTTTTTATTTATCATTGTATACAATATTATTCTATTTAGATGATCTGAGTCTTCCTCCTGGACCACCAGTTTACCTTGATGTTATCTGGGTGCCTGGTTATCTTGTTCGTGTACCTCAATCGCTAATTGTTGACTTTTTATTCGTATTCGTTCTAAATTGTACATTCTATCCGGAGAAGCATTACATCCCAATATAGCTGAAGCATTGATCACAGCTAAAAATAAATGGAATCCAGATGGTAAGAGAAATTAAATAAATAAATGATTTTTGAGGTTAAGATAGCATTCATCTATGGACTGACATCATTTGGAGGATTATTGAAAACCTGGGAGCACTAGACAGATGTTTCGTCCTAGTATGCAACTCCTCAGCAGTACGCACTCACAATCCAGCTAAGGATTGAAGCCAGTATCCTCATATTTTATCGTGGACGCTGTAACCATTTACCCACTGGGTTAAAGTTTAGTGCTCTACAGCTTCATGCTTTTACCAGTCCGCGATATAGCGCGATGTATCAGTCCGCGATGAATGCTACTTGAGCAATAAATGATTGCTTCTTAACAAATTATTGTAGTCATTGTTTTTTTTTTCGTATTTATTTCTTAGCGGAATATTTGACCGTTTTATCCCTCCATCCGTTTAGAACAACAATAATGGGGTCCCATGTTTACTCACCTACCTATCCATCCATCCACCCACCCACTCATTCACACACACACGTCTTCACAACGTCGTTATGTGTTCTCCGCTGTCCCTTGTCTATATTTTGCTGGCTACAATAAATTTTTCTCGTTTCTTCTCTTTCGGAAAATTGTCATTGAATTCTTATGTTTACTTACTCCTAATGTGTGTGTGTGTGGTCTAAAGACAAAAGCGGAAATAGCTTACTAAGAGCCAACTCGGTTATTGCCAATCGATCGGGTGATAATTTCATTTTGGCATACAATCTAGTTTCTTTTGGTAAAATCCACATATTTCACTTTATTTCATCCATAAATACATTTTCCTGTATATATATATATATATATATATATATATATATATATATATATATATATATATATATATATATATATATATATATATGGTATGTTCAGTACAGTATATGCTAAATGAAGCTAATCTAATTACGATTTCCCTTTTTTCAGTAATCTGATATCATTTTATTCTTCTGTTTATCATTTGTCTACCCGCCCTAGAACTCAATGGAAACTATGCCTCTAGAATGGTGTATCGGCATTTCGCCTTCATTTCTGGTCATCAAGATCACATTTCACATACATTTTGTTGAGTTCCAGGTTTATTAGTTTGTGCTATCGGTTTTTAATTACTAAGTCACGGGCTCGAACCCCTCGCTTCCCATGCTTTATTTTGGATAATCACTCTATGATGACTGTCAACTAGATACAATAAAATAAAACTTCTTATGGGTTTAACCTATCCTTTTTTCTGAGCCATGAAGTTGTGTTTGGTAATACATTGACTGAGTTACTAAGTCGTACGCCCGAAACAACTTTCTCCAAAAGAACAATTAAATTGCTCACGTTTCTTGGGATCATCTTGTAAGCAGTTATGAGGCCAGGTGAAGGGTGCTAAACAAGAAGGACAAGTCGATTGATAAGGTTGTGAACATTGGTCGACTAAGAGATGGCTTTGACATGTATTGCGCATTACAAGCCACCGCATATCATCATCAATATCAATATAGGACCAGGCATTACTGCGTAACGGTCCGAGTTGCCACAGCTCAGTACAGTGCATCACGTAGAAAGGCAGTGAAGTGGAAAATGAAGATAAGAGAATGCGGTCAAAAGAAATATAAAGTAAGAGAGGAAAGTAAGGAAGAATGAGAAAATGGTGAGATTCGGTATAGCGTCGTTAAGATGAGGATAATGTGTGTGGGGATTCATCTTCACCACTGACATCGGCTCTGAGTCATATCACCTAGAGTCAGTCTTCAACCGCTAGTTCCTCTTGTCCCGTGGACCCCAACCAACTAGTCTGCATCGTCCCACATGGCTCAAACCAACAGTCGGTGACTTCATGCATTAGTGCCATGTTTTAGTCTGGCCACCTTGAGCGTTTTTCCAGCCTAGACCTACTTCACCCAAGATTGTGTGACGAGGCAATCGGCGATTAGACATACGTAGTACGTGTCCCAGCCATCTCAGTCGATGAAGGTTCATAACCTCGTCAACTGATTTACCTCTCCTCTCTCCCTAAAACTATACCTGACTTCTGCATTACTCACTTGGTGACACCACGGAATACTGCCTATACTACGAAGGCAGTGGTGGTCAAACACTTGAAGCCTTCTCACATCTTCCACTTTCAATGGCCATGTTTCACAGCCATACAGTAGAATAGAGTGAACTGCTGTGCAGTACACTCGACTCTTAGGAGACAAACGGATATCACGGCGGCACCATAGGTGGCGTAAATTGTCGAAAGCCAGCCGAGCCTTTTGTATCCGTGCAGAGATTTCCTTGGCCACTGAGCCACCAGGGCTGACCTTACTTCCAAGGCGAGTGAAGTGGTTGACGCATTCAACCTCTACACTCTCTTTTGTTGGCCGTGGCACCGTTGAAGACCAATTGTGGAGCAGAAATTTGAATATGGACGGTGAGAACCGCATCCTAAACATTCTCAAATTCCCACCCCCTAACTCAATGTGGTATGTTTGGGGCGAAGGGGGGGGGAGAGGAAAGGAAGTTGGATTCGGTTGGAAGAAGGTTTAGGGTTGTCAGATGAACATGTGGCACTAGTCGATGAAGTCTTCGACTGTTGGTTTGAGCTGAGTATGGTTGAGTGAACTGATTAGCTTGTGTCCTTGGAAATGAAATTTTCAATTCTGAGGTACACTTCATTATTTTCTTTCCATCCGTCATGAACTACTGAGATTATACATAAATTTTTTATTTTTCCCTTGGGTTCCTACTGAAACACACACGGCTTCAGTAGCACGCCACCATTGCACTCTCTTGTCTCCAGTCTTTTGAACCTGGCACCACTAGTGCTCACAAGCTTTTATTTCTTCCTCACATAATCTCCTCCATATCACCCTCGGATGCCCAACTTGTTATTTCCCCTTTGGATTCCACTAGAGGGCCTGGCCTGACGCGTGATGTCCCCGAATAGTTTTCTCAATGTATCCCCAATCCAATCCATCTCCACATTCTTCTGCATATTTGTTGAATTCTTGGTTGGTTCGTTGGTAGACCAGAATTCCTTGTTGCTCATTCTTATTATTCTGATTCTCTGATCTGATCTTCAGTGACGAGCCAGAGTAGGCAGCTGTTGATGAATGTCTGTAGTTTGTTGGAAATGCTTTTCATGACACACCAAGTTTCTGAACCATATAGCAGTGTTGACTTGACGTTGGTGTTGAGAATCCGGATCTTGTTCACGATTCGGGCTGAGTGGAGTGCAGTACATTTCCACGCTGATTTCAGATTAATGAAAGCTTATACATGTAATACATATATATATATATATTTCACTTTTCAGATGTTTCCTATCTGTGTCGTTGTGATGCCAACTCATCGGATGCTGCTATCATGATACTTCCAACAGATGAGCCTAAAGAATGGATACGTTGGTTAGAAACACCATGTGGTCGATTGGATGAACTAAAAGGTTCAGATCGATTGTCTGCAAACCATTTCCGACTATTACCTGCAGCCAACTTATGCAGTACACAATTCAATGCTGGCGATATGATATTTGAATGTGAAGGTTTACGCGTGGAATTTTGAACAATCTTACATAATAATAATAATAATAATAATCTCTAGTATGCATATACAACACATCTATATTATCTATGTGCATTCAACATTACATATGGAAAAGATAACACAATCATGTTCACTTCTGTTCTTTGTTTTTTGGTCTCCTGTTTCTTTCCTCCATCTGAAGTTTGCAAATGAAAGAAAAAAAAGAAGTCAGTTGATCATATTCATAGTCATCGCCTTTCTTGTATCAGAAGTACCTTGCTTGTTGGGCTTGTTTCCTAGTGTGTATGTGTATGTGTGTGCGTGCGCGCGTATAACTGATTGTGATTTACTTTAAATATTCATAATGATGATCGTCTCCACCCCCCCCCCCCACACACACAATTTCGATGCATAGTGCGTTCGTATTGTTCATTTTTGTTAAAAGTGGATAAAAAAAACCTCTACATTGAATGAATTCAGTGTATTTGGATTAGTTGCTATGCCTTGTTGCTTTTTTTTCTCTCTTCATTTTATTTCTCCAATTTTTTTTAAAAAATTACTTTTCTTCATTTGTTCTTTTGATGATGAAATATTTTGATGAGATCATATTGATGGCATAGCTAGAACAAAAGGTATATGTGCGCGCGTGCGTGCGTGCGTGCGTACACACACACACATACAACACACAGGCAGATAGACAACGATCTGATCATCATTTTTGACTTATCTGCCATTTTTTTCTTAAAGTTAAAAAACAAAATAATAACACGGATAGAAAAGAAGAAACGAATAATTTTTCTGTTTAACACCCTTATCTTATTTTCTTTCATTTTCTCATTTTATCACCTCAATCTCATTGTTGATCATAAGTAATGTTATAAAAGTACACACACACACACACACTTACCCCTTTCCTTTTTTTTTGTTTCTTCATCAAATTGATGCGTTTCCCTAATTTTTACACTTAAGTAGTATTGGTGCTTTCATCTGAATTCACTAAAATTCCATGTTTGTTTTATTCAATGGATAATGAATAATTCAAGGGGGGTTCAACGAGTGCCTATTTATTTTTTAAAAACAATTTTCCTTCCAAAGGAATGTTTGAAAGAAGGCAATCTAAACTACATTCTCGTTGTTCTTCACATTTTCTTTCACTTTTGCCTTTTTTTCTTCTCTTTCTCGGTTTATTTATTCGTTGGGTTTTCAGTTGTTAGCCTTTACTCTGTGTGTGTGTGTGTGTGTGTGTGCGTGTGTATGTATGGTCATATTCATTTCACGCTTTCTTTTGTGTTGTTCTCATTTAGTTCAGTTCAATGTTTTTGATTTGGTTCTCGCTTCTTTTTTGTCTGACTTGTTGTTGTTGTTGTTGTTTCATTATCATATGTTGTGTTAAAATGCAAAATTTCACCTATCAATTAGTTGGTTTTGAATTCTGCTTTACTCCTCTTCATCACCTTGTCTAACTGAGTAAAATTAGCAATATAAACAACAAGTTATGTTGTAATTGATCTACAGTTGAAAAAAAAATTGAGATCATTTTTGCATTGTGTAGTGCTTTTTTTTTGTCTTCTTTTGCTTTGCTGCTTCACAATGATTTACTCAGTGTTGGTTTTGTGTATATGTGTGTGTGTGTGTGTGTGTGTTCATCGATGCGAGTATGTTGACTTTCGCTTATCACTTTTCATTCATTTTGTGAGGATTTTTGAAGTTTTTTTCTTTCTTGTGGAAGAACTCACATACACATCATAAAGATAAGCTAACTGTCATATTCATCTACGCATTCATCATGATGTAGTTGTAATTGATGAATATAAATAATATATAATGCCATCATAATTATGTTTTTTGTTTTTATTGATGAAGAGTTCAATACTGGGACGAAACAGGTTTACAATGTTTCTCTAAGTGATTTCAGTTAGTCAGTGATGAATTTTCTACCTTGAAGATGAAATCTCAAGTAACCTCAAAATGTATAACTATATTTTACTGTTTTTATTTGTGCTTCTATTGGCTTTACTCCTCATATATATATATATATATATATATATATATATATATATATATATATATAAGTTATGCGTTTGTCGACGTATCATATAATGGAGAGCTGGCAAATATCTGCAGTTCACTAGCGAGGAGGTCATACTGAGAACAGTATCTAGTTATGCTCTAAAATTAGTAGCTTCTAAAATCTGTCCAAAACTATACTATTATTATTATTATTATTATTATTATTATTATTATTATTATTAGTCCCTAATAATGGAACATAGGGCTTCACTACCACGCCTCCAGTGAACTCTGTTCTTTGAAATCTTTTGAACCTGGCTCCACGACAGCCCAGAAGCTCTCATTTCCTCTTCGCACGATCTCCTCCATGTCACCCTCAGCTGGGACTCCCAACTCGTCGCTTCCCATGGGGATTCCATTCGAGCAACTGGCCTGACGCGTAATGTCCCCAGTCGGCCTTCTCAGTGTATGCCCAATCCATCACTTCCTTCCACTGCATATTTGTTGAGTGATAGGTTCTTGGTTGGTTCGTTCCCAGAGCTCCTTGTTGCTTATTCTTCCTGGCCATATGATCTCCAGTAGCGAGCGTAGGCAGTTGTTGATGAATGTCTGTAGTTTATTGGAAATGCCTTTCGTGACGCGCCAAGTCTCTGAATCATCACATAGAAGCACTGACTTGACTAGGTTGGTGTTGAAAATCTGCATCTTGTTGCACATGCTGAGTGCAGTGCAATACATCTCCACACTGGTTTCAGGCTAATGAACGTTTGTCTTGCTTTTCCGATTCTGACTTTGACATCCTCATCTGTGCCTGTGCCACCTGTAGTTGAAACAGTGCTTTTTAGATAGGTAAAGGAGGTTACTTCCGTTAAGTTTCTCCCGTTGATTGTGATTGGAGTTGTTGGTGCGGTATCTTCATCACTTCTGTCTTCTCTATACTCACCTGAAGTCCCGTCTTCGCTGCCTCGCCTCTTCTGCCAGCTTGTTAGTTTTCGCTTGTAGATCTTCAAGTTTGTGTGACATCAGGCACAAGTCATCGGCGAAATCCAGATCTTCTAGGTTCTTTTCAGCAGTCTAGCGTATCCCCCTCTTCTCGCTCCCCACTGTTTGTTGCATGATCCAGTTGACCACAATCAGGAATATCACGGGGGATAGTAGGCAACCTTGTTTCACTCCTGTTTTCACTTCAAAAGCATCACTGAGCTTCCCATTGTGAATTACTTGGCATGTGGCGTCGTCATATAGCTGCTGTTGAATGAGGCGGATAAAAGTTTGCGGTACTCCGTAGTAATGAAGCAGTTTCCAAATTACCTCTCGGTCGACGCTATCAAAGGCCTTCTCAAAGTCGATGAAGTTGAGGTGTAGAGTTGACTGTCATTCTATGCTCTGTTCTATGGTGATGCGTAGAGTGGCGTTGCAATTTGGTCTGCACATGATTTGTACTTCTTGAAGCCTGCCAGCCTGTTCCGATTGTAGTTTTGAATCCAGTGCATCTTTTAGCCTCTACAGGATGATGCGGCTTAATATTTTGCTTGGGGTGGAAAGGAGAGTGATTCCTCGCCACTTCTTGCAAACACTGAGGTCTCCCTTCTTCGGCAGTTTGACAAGGTAACCTTTCTTCCAATCGATAGGCAGGTGACTTCTCTTCCTTCCACACCTGCAATAGTGGTGTGGTGTGAGCATGTCCACTGTTGAAAACTATACTAATCGCTGATATTTATTTGGTGACGGTTACTAGTGGAATACTGGACTCAATTGATTGACCTGTGATTATAAATGAGCTTTCTTGTACGATCAAATTAATATTGTCAATGTTTTGAGCAATCAATACTAAAATGCATAGATAGGAATCTCTTCAGAATGGATTAACTGACGCTTCTGAAAGCTGATAAACTTGAGATAATGCATAGGTGAAATGTTTATCTAAGATCTGCTCATCTTTTGACGAAAATTTATTCTTACTTTTTATATTTTGGTGGGATATGCATTATTAAAGTTCTCTATTTATTGACATACTTGTTATTCTCCGTTGTTTGTTTTGTTGGATCGAATTGTTTGACCTCTATTGGGATATGGGCTCTTATAGGCTCCAAATAGGACGAAATGCACGTTCTGGATTCACCTGCTAGCCACAACCAACCAAATTATCATAATTAACATTCAGACAATACCGAGGCATCCGCATATTAGCCCATATGCCAACAGAGGTCGAACAATTCGATCCAATAAAACAACGGAGAATAACAAATATGTCAATAAATAGTAATAACTACTACCCGTTGTACAAGAAGTGGCTATCGCTTCTCTGTGGCATAGTGGATAACGCCTTGGCGTTTGAAGAAATGGGTATGAGGTTTGAGTCTCAGTGGGAACAACATCGCTGGGGTGCGGGTAAGTCCAGCTTGGCGAGTCGCAAATAGGATGAAACACGCGTCCTTGATTCTTCTGCTAGCCACAACCAACCAAATTGTCATGATTAAAGTTCTCTCTTGAAATTTAAGAAACTTATTGTTGGGACCCGAAGATTCTTTTGAATAGACCTTATTCATTGAATATTTAAAAAGAGTGAAGTTTGAGGGCTAAAAACACTACCTGGTTTCCCAGACCTCTGTAGATGGTGTTGTGTTCCAGCCCTTTGACCCACCAGTGAGAAGTTGAGTACCTAAATCAATGAACCACAGTTCCACTGAATGAAGAATAAAAGGATCTCAGATAATTATCATCTATTAATTTTTGTGGACCAGTTTATTTATTCCTGTACTACAACTTGTGAATACAGGGTCTAGCGTTTTAGAGATTGATGTGGTCGGATCGAAAATCTTTGCTGTTCGCTACGTGCTAAGCCTTTCTTAACACTGTATATGTTACGCTAAGTGACTAATACAATGAAAGCAAGGCATCTACATGGATTGAAATATCATGTAGATAATGTATTTCGCAAATACAAACTCTCTCCTTTCATTTTCCTTCTCGGCAAGGAAAACAAGAACTGCGGCATGGTCACCACTAGTACCGATTCTGAACCCTGTTCGTTATCATTTCAAGCCACTGATTTGCGTGTTCTCTCCGATCTAGTCAGAGCAGTCGTGAGACACCTACAGATGCCTACCCAACATAACTATCCTTCATTCAGTGGCGCATTCTCGTACACTGGCCATCTCTTCGCTTCTTCCAACCAGTTACTAAGTAGCCGAACAGTAAGCGATATGGGAGTCGGTCAGACTACACACACGACATATATCCAAGCCACCAAAGATGGTGTTTCAAGATCACTTCACTCTATAAATAACGGTCTTTCCTACACTGAAGCGCATGTTATCTAACCTCAGTATTGGTTATATGGTTTACCTGCGGAGACAACGGTGATCGAATATACAGAGTCGTTGGACATTTTCACCTCGAAGAGATCATGTTTCATAACCGTACTTTTTGTTTATCCGCCGATTGTATGACGATTTTGATTTTCTTCCCGTAAGCAATTCACTCATTACTTGTCAGATGAATACAGCTGAAATATATGATTAGGTAATGTGTGCGGAAGCAGGAGAATATTGAACACCAGAAAAGCATTTAAAGTTCAGATCATTTCAAAAACGCAAATACCCAATATTGTACACTGTTAAACTTTCTCAAGAGTAATAGAGTTACTTTGAGGTTAGGGAAGAATGAAATCACAAAAATTTCCAAGCATCATTCATCCCAATGCTCAAAACAACAAGCAATCAGTAATATCAGCGTACCGTTTAACAAGATTAACTACACTAATGACAGTTTCCAAGTACAACATTGAACCGTCTGTCTAGGAACAAACAGATTACTAGCAGCTAACTGAATAACTTTTCACTTGGATATATGAATTGCTTATCAGTTGGTAACAAATACAGTATTCAAGTTTTCATTCATGGTTATCTTTAATCAAAATCTGTCTTGTGAATTTGTAATAAAAGTGTGGTATAAAAGTAACAAAAAGCTATCATAAACGTCCTTCTTTATCGAGTAAGAAAGTCCACCGCTCACTAGTGACCAATTTTGAGAAGAATATTTCAGAGATCTGATGGAAAACTATGAAGTATGATAAAAGTTGGTAGCTTCAACACTTATCAGCCAACTTTAGGTCTAACCTCTACGCTGTCTGTTCCAGTTAGAGTATAAGAAGTGAATCCTATGTAAGTTGATTGCTGTTCACACCTATTACTCATAGGTTATGAAAGAAATTAGAAGCTATTCAGTTGAGAAATTTTTCCTGCAATGATGGATACCTCTAAGAAATGTACACGAAAAAGGTAATCCATGTATTTGAAAGCAAAGGCTCTATGTCCTTCATACGACTGAAGGTGGACCTGCAAACAAAAAGTGAGGTGACCCGAAATAGCAGCGTGTCGTCAGCACACCTATCAATTATACTCCAATTAGACATCATTTAAAACTTTATCAACCTAATTCAACAACTACATAACGACACCACATGACAACTGATTCAAAATCGAAAGCTCAGTGATCCCTTCGAAGTGAAGTGAAGACAGGAGTAAAACAAGGCTGCCACCTACTATCATCAGTCATCTTCCTGATTACGGTCAACTGAACTGCACTCAACTGAATCATGCAAGAAACTGTGAGGAGCTAGAAGAAGGGCATACACTGTTTGACCGATGAAAAAACCTAGAAGAACATTTGAATTTCCCTTCCTCATGATGATTTATGTCTAGTGTCTAATGTGGCACAAACTCGAAGATGTACAGGTAAGAAGTAACAAGTTGGCAGAATAGGGGAGGTGAGGCAATGAAGGAATTCGTGACTTCAGGTGAAGGAGGAGAAGCCAGAGGTGGTGAGGGTACCCAACTAAGAACAACAGCAACAACAAGCACC